TGTAACTGTTTTTCTCTAGTAGAATCCATGACCCCCCACAGGCAGGGAGCTGGATCTGACAGTAGAATGAGCTGAAAGTAGGAGAAAAGCCGTATTTATACAGTGGATGACGTCACAATGCATAGGTAAGCATATTTTTTTGCACACGGCCCTAAACAAACTTGAATCGCTGCCAAGTAATACCTGTGTAGTCAGCATAAAAAAAAACGTAGGTCTATCGTATTTTTTTTTTTTTTTTTTTGCACAGGGCTCTTACAGATGATGCAACAGGGATAAAAGTCGCTGCCAAAATAGTAGTAGCAGCAGCGTATAGTGTATAATGTAAACACACACCCCGTATTTAGGGGGATTATATGTAATGAATTGACCGGGCTATCCCCTCCAGGGGCTGCACTCCGTTGACCCACCTATTCCCTCCAGGGGCTGCACTCCGTTGACCCCCCTATCCCCCCCCAGGGGCTGCACTCAGTTGAACCCCCTATCCCCCACAGCCCCAAAAGTGCACTCAGTTGAACCCCCCATCTAGGCCCGTTATACTACTTAAGTAAACACAATTTATAATACGATACTATTAATTAATCAAAAATTTTATTTTGTTTGTAACGCCTCATTTGATTCTTAAAAGAAAAAAATTATACCGTATAAACCGTATTGCCTTCATCATATTGACTTACTTCAAAAGCAAATTAATCTGCTTGTCGTTATATTTGAAATATGCACAATTTGAAGACATTTTTGATGAAGAAATTGTCTTAATTTTTACTTTAATGATGGACATTAATTAAATAATAAGGAATGAATTTAATACTTACTCAAGTTATACAAGTATAACCGGGTTGGAACAGTTTACGCTTTTTATAAACCGATTTTCACGTTTATAAAACGTGAACTGATCCACCTCAGATTGTACAGTATAACTTGGGTAGCTATTAAATTCATTCCTTAAATGTAATCATGTATGAAATGCACGTAAACCAGACAGACAACAGTACCGAAGATTATATTCATTCATGAGTAAACGGTTGGGTAACCTTTTTCTATACTATTGTTTTCCTCAGCTGAAATATACATATAATTTCATGATATTGATTTTTGAACTCGGTCTACTAAGGACTAAATGGATGTGCCCAAGTCCATATAGTACGAGTAAACCTCATTAAATTTCAATATTTGTATGATATGGTACTTGTTAAAGTTTAATGACTATAAAATATAAAAATAAATTCATTCTATGATAAAACATTATATGATAATGTTTTTAAATTCAAGTATCTTTTAAAATTAAAGTATAGAGCCAAGGTTTATTAGATAAATTACCCAATCAATTACATAATTATTATATGTACGTTGAATGTGAATGTATTTAAGGTTCGCGTAGTGTTTGGGGCTCAAGGAAATACAGTGGCATTCTTGGAATTTGACGGAAGTGGAAGTAACAAAGAGAACTGGTTCAGCAAAGAGAGATTGTTACACAGCAGTTGGTCCGATCTAAATAGCAATTCTGTGACTAATTATTTCTCCATGAACGGGTATCCACATTTCTAGTTGTTGCTTTTATTACAATCGTTTAAAACAATAACGAAATGTTTATTCATTCTCGTGATCAAAAAATATAATTATTTATTTATTTCTTGATTATCCTTTGTAGTAATGATTCTGGAAGACATTTTTTTATCAACAAATCATATGGCTCATGTCCTAACGATATTGGATGGTTAGTTGTAATAGATAGAATCCCTGTGTGTACCTGGGAGAAGAAGGGAGATCACCCACCACTCTTTTTGTACAGCAAAAGTTCGAAAGCTATGAACTGGAACACTAGTATGTTTACTAAATTCATTCGCACTAATTATATCGAGCTAATGTGCAAAATGTATTATTTATTTAACTGTTTTTTTTCCTTTTACATACCGACTGTTTACATAAAATATCAGACAAAACATTTTAATGTTTTAAAATATTTTTCGAAATACATATACATGTATATTATTAAATTAAATATGAACATGTGCTGCCGCAGTATTTAATGGCAATCAGGAAAAAATTAAAATATGTTAATAGGGACTATAACTAGTCAGTCTGCTTAAATTTGAAAAAAGAAAATTAATTTTCAGTCTTATGATATTCAATCCGTGGGATATCCAAAATATTTAAATAAATATTTAGTGTTGTAAAATATATCTAAAAGTGTCGAAGGTATCGATTTTCCTTGCAAAATTGACATTTAGTTATATCTTTTATTACTTAGTATTTTTTTCTTAATGTACTTCATATCATCTCACCAATCAAAGGTTGCAATAAAAAGCATGTCTTTCATTCCAGATATTGGATCTGCTGATGTAATGAACGTCTACATTCTCACTCTCTAAGCCTAACGGTTGAGGGAAAAGAGAAGTTTATTTCCAACAACTTTGGAAAATGCACACATGAATTCAATTCATTTAAACTTAATAAAGGTTGTAACATGTAACACATGATTTTTCATTTTTTTTTAGTTTTCCATTTTCTTGAATTCAAGGAGAATTTTAATGACTAGAGTAAAGTAAAAACTCTGGAAATCTACCTTAAACAAAATTATAATGCTTTTATTGAAAAAATAGCAGCATAATTTTTTTTAAAAAAGGAACCTGAAAAAGAACTACATTTTTTTTCTATTGCAAGGAAAAAAGGCGGAGCAGTGAAACGAACAGTGATTGCTTTTTATGAAACGATCACTAATGTTTTTTAATTAAAAATCCAGAATTAACGTGAAGACTATGGAGAGAACGAACAGTATTCAATATCAAAGTCCATAAGACAATACAAAATAGGGGCAGAGCAAATACGGACCTCCAAAACATCAGAGGTGGGATCAGGTGCCATGGGGGAGTGACTTGCCGACCGGTCACACCCGCCGTGTGCTCCTTGTGTAGGTATTAGGTGTTGTCAACTGGTAATCACACAAAAAATAAAAACAAAAAGGAACCGAGATTGTAGATTTAAAGGGTCTTGGTGGTAGTGGCCATTTTCAGAGTATTTTGATCTCCTTTAGAAGAAGAGCTCCATATGAAGATATACAAAAATGAACAAATTTTAGAACTAAATATGAAATTTTTTTCCTAAATGATAGTTTACAGCTTCAGATATCATTTCTAAAAAAATTAAGTTATATCTGGTGGCTAATTTGTTGACCCTCAGCCTCCTGAAATATCGAAAGTTAAAAAATTGGATAATTAATTGTATGCATAAATGAAAGGTTAATCACGTGGAAGCAATCTTATGAATACAATGAACACCATATCTTCAAATGAGTATTGTATTATACATGTACATTAAAAAATGTTAAGTTTTTTAAAAACCTTAAGTGATTTTATTTTTCCATCTTTAAGAGGCGTATGTGTAGTTTTAGAAATAAGAGTTATTTTAAGCAACCTTCGCTAGAAAGAGGGATAAATGAATAAGCGTTGTAGGCATTATTATGCACAAAAGTATGCTTCTAAACCATTAAATATATCACTTTTAAAGCAGTTAACTTGTAATGATAGAAGCTGAGTTTTCCTTTCTGAGTAAAAGCTAGTTTGCCAAACATATATCTTCTTTAACATGCGTTTCTAAGGGCAAGAAAATACAAAACTGGCACAGTATGTTTACCCAGAAAACCCTAAAGTTATTTGAGCTTACGCTCTGCAACATAAAGACTTTTATATTTCGTTGATTGCAGAAATATCTTGCCGAGTTGACTAAGCTTGTTTTTTGACCAGACAGGCATCACCAGTAACACAGTGTTGAATTGAAAAAATGTCATTTATTTATAAAATGACGAATATGAAACTAGTACAAATATTTGGGGTCAGAAAAGACTAGAAAAATTGACAAGCAAAGTGTTATCTTCAATAAGTATTATATGTATTCTTACCTCTCAACAAACATAACCTAAAATTACATAAAAATCAACTTCTCAAATCCCTACAAAACACAACCTGCCTGTCCACAAAAAATGTGGGAAAATGAAAAGTACAGGCGACAGAGGCAGGCAGAAAACAATCAAAAACTGAGGAGGGTAGTTCTGGGGTTTGATGGAGGATAATTTTCGTTAAAATTTTTACGTGGTTTCTCCTTTCAGTAAAATATCAAAGTATGATACACGAGGTTGATGTAATATGAAGTCCCCGATGTCATCCAAGCTGTTAAAATATTTTGATATTTTTGTTAATATTTAAATTTTTTCAGAATAAAATCTTAATTATCAAAAAAGAAATTAAAAGTAACTAAGCTAAAATTATCAACTTTGCTTAAACAGAAGAAAAAGAGCTCACTTGGTGGATAAATTCCTTATATACAAATCATTTTATGTGCGAAAAGAATATCTCACGTGCACGCTAATGTATTTTGCCCTTAAAAAGACCTACATGCAGGAAATCCATTATGGCTGATGACGTCCCTGTAAAAATTTGCCGAAGCCTTCGGAGTTCTGTCCCGACTGTCTCTCTCAAAGTCCACTTTGTAAAGTCCGTACTTCTTGGTGTAACCAGCTCCCCACTCAAAATTGTCCAGTAAAGACCACACAAAGTAACCCTTTACATTCACATTATCCAACGCATATGCTGAAATTGTAATAGATAATTATATAAATGTGAAGTAAAAGGTTAGAAACGTTTTAAGATATTTCATAATAATTTTTAAATATTTAAATCTTACCAGTAAGAACTTGGTCGATGTAATTTCTCAGGTAGTTCACCCTCGTCTCGTCTAATATTGTTCCACAGTCACCGACCCCGTTTTCTGTGACGTAGATAGTTGAGGGGTTGTACGTATCTTTTATGTACTTCAAAAGTTTTCGAATTCCTTCGGGGTATATTTTCTTATCTTTTGGTCTTTAATAAATATATGTAGATGTCTTGAAATAATAGTCTTTTTTATATCAACAAAACTTAAAAATCTACTTGCATTAAATGCAATATAATTGTGAATTTAATTGTAAAATTGGGCGATTTTCATAACCATTTACTGACTAATTATAACTTACTCAATTACTCGTTTTGAACGTCAATTTTTAAAAGCAGAATATTCTATTACATAAAGCATAAAAATCATCATTACAAGTTTGATATTTTCTGTTATATACATGTACCATCTTTGCAAAGTTATATCTGTTTTACTAACACAAACTTATTTAAATGTGTTTGACACAATCTGAGAATAACATATCAATGCTACAGCAGAATATATTTAAAAGCAAAAAATGACTTATAAAATCAATAGCATTTGTAAAAAAAAAAATTGATTGGAAAAAATGGTAATTTAAAAAAGAATTAATTGAAAAAATGGTAATTTTTTTTCAGTCATGTAACATTTCGTGAAATCAAATTAGAGCTTCTTTTGAACATCTTTTTTCAGAGTTCTATTACCCTTCCCATGTTGGATCAAACGACTCCTTCACGCCGAGATCTTTAACATAGCTGTCACCACTTATCGTTGATGGACTGTCTTCAACAAGTTTTGTGGTATAGTGGTTGATTCCAAAGAAATCGGATGAACCTGTTTGTTAAAACCAATTCAGCATATTCAAATACCTTATGATAAAACGAATAAAGCATATTCAAATACCTTATCTTTAGCAATTTATTAATGAAACAACATATCCAAATGTACATTTAATTATTGTTGTCACCTCTAATATCATTTCTCTCAGAAGCTGTTAGTGTTTTCAGACGACCTCCTGCTCTGGTTTTCATTTCTGTTGGATAATCGCCATTCCCAAATATTGGATTTGCAAACCAACCTAGCATAAAATCTAAAGCTCTCTTTGCAGCTTGTACATCTGCAGTTTTACTCGTTTTTGACATTTTCCAGTCTGAGTTAAGAGCAATTCCTATTTTTCCTCCCTGAGTGGCGAAATCCCTTTTATAAAGTTTGTAAACCCGAGCATGCGCTATAAGTAAGTTGTGTCCGACAGTATAGGGTTTAGTTCCGGGCTCTTTACTCCAGGAGCTTGACTTCCGGTTCCATATCCATACCAAGCGATGTCATAGGGCTCGTTGATTGTGATCCACATCTTCACCTGTAGGTTAATATCAATAATTTTATTGATCATTACGTACCAACATCCTCTTCGTATTTCGCTTGAAATTTGAGTTGGAATGTATTTGCAAAATCACCATCGACTATTCAAACTGCGCACGTAACAAAATGTTACAAGATCTGTTATTAATAATAACATGCACATGTACCTATTTCACATTATACAAAAGGTATAAAGGAAAAAATTATTACCTGGGAACCCAGTTGTTGAAACATCAATCTAGAATACTCTTCAAAACGGGTTATAGTATTAGGCGATTCCCATCCGCCTTTACAATAGAAATTTCAGTTTATTTTTTAAAATTGTATTGTGGTTTATAATTAAACAATTATTTTCATCTGAAAAAACATGCCCCTTTGAAATAGAAGATGAAATTGATGTCTGTTTTATGTGAGTACAGAGAAAATATGAAGTGTTTTTACCAATATCTTGTAGGCTCTGTGGTAGGTCCCAGTGATAGAGGGTCACCACGGGTTCTATGTTGTTGTCTTTTAATTCTTTAACAAGATTTTTATAGAAGTCGATTCCCTTATCATTCCTCCAACTCAGGGTACCATTTGGTAAGACCCGACTCCATGAAATGGAGAATCTATAGTGCGTAACCTAGAAAAAGGAATTTATATAAGTATTAAATCCCTACCTTTAGTTAAATAGTTCAGTAAATGCCATTATAGTAAACAAGAATATAAATAATTTATTGCTTAAAAATCTTCAGGCCAGGGATAAAATTTGAAATAAGAACTGTGATTTCAATCTTCAATCGTTCACCTAAATTTTGGACCTATTGTTAGTCATACATGTACATGTATATATCGATGACATGTCCTACTTTTCAATAGAAAACTTATATAATTGTAAGATAGTAAAACATAATTTAAAATGGGCTGGTAGAGATTCTTTAAAGTTAAAATTGCCTTCTAATCAAACGATCCCCTACCCCCAGTTGCTTCAGTAACTGGACATCTTCTTTGTATTTATCGTAAGAGTCGCTGGCCTTATCTCCGTTTGATCCATCAACGATGTTTCCAGAACTTTTGGAGAACGTGTCCCAGATACTTTTTCCTCGACCTCAAATTGAAAAGATCATACATGGAGTTTGGTTAACAAAAATGGCTTCATTCAAAATTGTAGTTAGAAAAATTAAATAACTTTAAGGACAAAAGTGAAGTGGCATGAATTCTTTCTAATAAATGTCTTAAGTTGCCGTCTTTCCCTATTACATCTTATATACAATGTAGATGTCAACTTAAAACGCAGATAATATATCATGTGAACATCTTCTTAATGATAGCTCTAATATTATAAAAACACACTAAAGGACACGTTTTTTGTCAGCACAACTACAACAGTGAAATTAATACTATAATTTTTGCAAACAGCTTTTCATAGCAGTTTGCTTTTGGTGGCAGCTTTTTGTTTTGACAACTTTGTGGTTTATATACTTTTTATTTGTCAAAATATTTTTGCCAAAGTAATGTTTGTTTGCAACAGGGGAGATACCGTTGCCAAATTTATTGTTCTTTGTACTCAGGAAATATCCCGGTGATCTCCCCTTAACTTTATCTGTGTTATATACTTATTGTCATTTAATAAATGACAATTCTCACTCAGTATACATTGTTTGTTATATTTCAACTTTTGCGGTAGGCATGATATTACCAAATTTACATAAATAATTTAACTCAACTTGATATTGGCTAATCAGAATTTTCTCTGTTTTTCTTCTTCTTTTTTTTTTTTTAGGATATATTAGTTATTTTCAAATGCTTCCTTATTTAACTTTTTCTCATTTTCACATATAATAAAGTATTCTTATAAGTATACAAAATGATACAAAAACAAAAAGTTTTGATCGTTTACTAAGAGAGAAAAAATATTTTTTATGGATTTTTGGCTCAAATCTTCACTTTGATAGGAAGAGTTTAAAAGCTAACAAAGTTCTAGTTTGTTTGAAAAATCATATTTATTTGATATATTTTGAAAGTTTAGTCTCTCATTATCAATCTAACTTACATTTGAACATTTCTCCAAGTCTTCGATTGTGTAAAAATTATAACTAAATTCATTGTTCTATTATAATTTTGAAAGGCAGAAAAGAAGATATTTTTTTATACGCCACCATTCCGCCAAAAATATAGTCCCTGCTAGTTTTCAAACGCAGTTTACTATTTCTATTTAAAGTTGTACATTTCTGACGAGGAAAGAAAAATATGGTCTTTTAAATTCCTTACACCTCAATATATAAGACATATAAGCAAACATACTTTGAATGTTTCATCTAGTCAGAAACCAAAGAAGAATCCTACCTTAATTACAGTAAGATAATTACTGTAATGAAAATGGAACGTGTTTATCATGTAAATATCATCTACGGGTAGATTATTGCAACATTAGTGGTGATTGTTAAAGAATTTAAAAGAAAAAAAAACACTTATAGGTGTAGTTCTCATTATTGAATATGCTAGATTTTGAAGTAAATTAAAAAAGTAAATGTATTTTTTAGATTTATAGGAATAAGTATAATTGTTCAACAGAGTAAAAATTGATAAATTAAAAACCAATTTTTAACCAGTGTTGCTCAGCGTATGATATTTTAAGAGACCGACACTTAACATCAGAATGGCAGAGATAGAACCACTTCAGAATCTCTCTCTTTTCCATTGTGATCCCAGTTGACCTTGGTAGATCAGCTGAGATTAAATTTGTTATTAATAGTGATATTTCGAAGGTACATGTAAGAAGAATACACAAGTACGAGGGTAATTCAAAAAGTTCGTAGACTTTTGTAGGAACTTTTTTATTTAACGTCATATTATATCCAGATTTGGTACACATATTTTTACAACAAATTCGAATAATTTAAGTAAAAAAATGTAATATATTTTAATATTTATAAAAATTATTAAAGATTTAGAACAGCAAAAATTGGTTCACAGAGCAACTTCAAGATTGAGTAATTTACTAATTTCCACTTTAGAGTAGCTATAGTCATACATGAACCTTTAATACATGTAAATGAAGCTGAAACAAAATAGATTTTACATGTTTAAATTAAATCTTGCTGTACTACTGAAGATGCTATGAGGTAATGTAATTAATTGCTCCGCTTAAAAGATATCTGTTTCTAAATACATACTTACTTATTTAAAAAAGGCAAAAAACTATGACGTAGGAGGACGTCACATAGCAGTGAGTAGGAGTAAAAGTTTGCTTTGTATTCGGGAAACTTCTGTAATAAACTTAAAAAATATGAATAAACCAAGAAATGTATATTGAAATAAGCCGTGTATTTGTATAAAAAGAATTTTTTTAGTGGTAGCGAGTTTAAATCGGACGATGGATGGTCTGCAAAGAAACATGTTATAGTTAAAAATCTTGAAAAATCAAATGATTTAGGAACGGCATTAATTTTGATACTTGATGTGCGCTTTACTGTTGCGGAACTAATAGAGTTACGCGGTAAAGAATTTGAAAACACTGACAATCTAGTTTGAGCTATTTCATGTACGTATTTGCACAATTGTTTGCAAACTATGTGTTACATGTAAGTGTTAATGACACGTTTTTATGAATAGAGAAGACGCTACAAACCGTGCAGGAAATCAAATTGCAGTCTGAGAGTAATTTTGAGAAATTTTCTCAAAGTTCTTTTTGACGTTACAATGCTGGTTTACCTTGCTCCGTGGTAACAAAACATGTTGCTTTTAAAAAATGGCTAAAGTGAGTTCTCTTTCATCAAATTGAATGAAACCTCACCCTTCGACAAAATATTTTTTTTATTTACAAAAATGTGTTGATCTATAATATTGTAATAATGATGTGACGATGAGAAACATTGTCTACAAATTTTTTAATAACCCTCGTACATGTTTTGTGTAAATCTGAAAACTGATGCTATAATTTAGATTCTATCTTGCAAAAACTGAGTTGAAAATAAAAATGCCGAATAAGTCATATTTTTTTTTCTGAAGATGTTCTATTGCAATCTTAATTTATTTTTGCTTTTGTTAAAATAAATCTGGTTTACTTAAAAGAGGAACTATTTTTAAGCAAATAAAAAAGGATGCAGATAGAGATAAATATACTAATATGCTACGTATTATACAATACAAAACAGAAACAGCCGTGAATATGAAGAGCCCGAGGAAAGATACCAAACTGTATTGTAACAAAATTGACTGTTGCCTTTTTCTTAGAAAGTAAAATAAAAATGATATTTGATATTTATCTTTGGAAAGATAACCATTTATCTATTTTGTTGTAATGTATATCATATATGGTTTTATTATGCGATTTTATATTTGTCCCATTTTTAATATTATCTATATGTTATTTCTTTATTCAAATAGAAGGTCAATATTTTGAAGAAAAAAAGAACGAAGGAACTATAATTCAATTTAAATGGAGTATAACGAGCATATTGCTAAAGGTTTCACTGTTATGCTGTTTCCAACGATAATACAGACACGATTGCAACATCTATTTATCTTTGATAAATATTTTCTTGCTAAACAAAACTTATGAAAATTTTTCCTTTTATTTTGTCATTTTGGTGAGTCGTTTGAATCACATAATCATCAAGTATACATGCAACAAAAGTAATGTAGAGAGGATTAAGATACAAAATAATCCGAAGAAATAGCTATATGTAAAGTTTTACAAACAAAGCCGTTAAGCATTTAAAATTATTGAGAAGTTAGAAAAAATTTAATACAATGTAAACATAAAGCAGTCATTTCTTATCTTTTACGATTATGTAAATGTTCAAATTCTTTGTGATTATGTACATGTAGATTTTGTTATTTATCTATATTAGCATAGTATAAAGACCTCGGTATTTAGCTGAATTGTAACTATCTTTAAATATAAAAGTTGTTGCTAACGAACAGTGATAAACCTCATAAATCCAGTTTAAAAAATGAATCGTTGCTGGGGGAGACACAAAAACACATAAAAACACTCTAGAATTTGGATCAGGCAGCTAAGAGGAGTAGTCGTTCCTTGTAGACCGGTTGTATTCGTCGTGAGCACTATGTGTTAATAAGACAAGCTGAGTTTTTTTATAACCAATGATATAAAGCAAAAGACGATCAAACGATGGTTCGATTTACAAACAAGTAAAAAAATGCGTAAAGCTGTTTTCACGGAGACTTTAAAAGCATAAAAAATAGCTTGTTTGTCAGAACTTGCATGTACATGTTTGAATATTTTGTATTCATGTTTTAAGTATACTGTTTACAGGGAAATTTTCGGTCCCGTTTTATTTTCACCCCTTTTTCCCTACCCTCAGCTGGGTGAATTTAAAACGGCGCAAATTTAGAGAATACACTTAGGATGATTTCTTAAACAGAACTGTGACTGGGCGAATTAAACACTGAACAAATTTCTTCGCAGGTGTGGAGGGCGAAAATAAACGGGGCAAAACTAACCTTGTATACAGTACACAGAGCCAAACTTCTAAGTATTCACCCAACATTTAAATAGAAAGAAAAAATGCAAACAGTGAATTATTTCTTTTACCCCATTCATACGACATGATTTGCATACCTCAGTATATTTTACTCATATGTAAATTTACTCACATGTGCAATTTTTGTCGTATGAACTGATTTGCTCATATGTAAATTCTGCACAGTTGAGTAAACACACCTGGTCAGGACTAGGTGCAAATTAACTTTTGCATACATGTTGTCGCAAATTATTAGTTCTTTTGAGTAAATTTTGTCGTATGAACACGCAGTAAATTTACTTATGTATGTATTTTGTTTTGTTTATTGCATAAATCTATGTTTTAAGTGTTGTTTCGGTTTATGCATTGTAAAGTGTATAATATCAGTCTGTTAACATGGCGGCTAGAGAGCAAAAGAAAAAAAACTGCATTTTTTATGGTCATCTTTGCTGTACATGTACTTCAAGGACAGCTGAAAGTAAAAATTTAGAGTTTTGATAAGGGTACTGCTTTAAAGACTTTAAAGGATACGCCGGGTTGTACTAGCATAAATCTTTCAACAAATGGCTTTTTCAACTTTGAAAACAAGGATCCACAACATATCTCCAGTCTCCCCTGA